AAGTAAAATATGTAATACATCAATTGCAGTTATGTTTATTATACTTATCGTCTGAAATTATAAAAAATATTGGTTACAATAGAACGATACCCACCAACATCAATCGCACGTCAAAAACGGTTTAAATAATATACTAAATCGTAAAACATATATTTATAAATTGAATTACATAAGTTATATATTCAATATGTATATATTATTTATTAAGCATATTGGGTTAAAAAATTAATGCAATAATAAAACTAAGAATTTAAACTGAAATTGTTTTGTAAAGGATGAAATACTTTTTAGTTTTTACGTATGATAATCATATAGGAATTTGTTCGAATTCCCCGAATCTTACGAATTTCCAGTAAGATAGAAAATAATAAATAACACAAATCAATTAGTTAAGTGGTTTTTTTCTATATGGTTTCAAAAAATACATTTTACCACATTATATTTGGAAAGTATTGTAAATTGAAAATTTATATTGTTTGACTATCGACGGTCATCGTATATTTCTCTATCGAGTAAAAGACGAAGAAAAAGATTTATTTGCCTAATATACAATCAAAATTGTTTAATATACAAGTTTCATCTACTATTGAACAATTATTATTTATTCCTTTTCTTAAATATACACATATATACTTTAACAGTTATTTTCTATCGTGGAATATTATACAGATCAATCTAAATTTTTAATGTTTCAAATTTAAAACAAGTTTTATAAATGCATTATTTATATTTTCTTCTTACCCGTCATAATTTAATAATCAGATTTTATTGAGCTTTATGCTGACGTTACGAATGTTTTTACACAAAAAAATTACACTCATAAATAATAAATTTTAAATTATCATACTCAATAAAAACGAAATAACTACGAATAATAACAATAATTTAATAATAAAAAAAAAAAAAGAACGGGGAAGTTGATTTCCTGTATTACAGTAGCTTTTGAATGTACCCCATTATCATCGAGCAATAGTTACTATGATGGATGCGTTAAACTTAAATTCAATAATATTTTATTAAGCTACAATCATTGCATTTAGAAAACAATTTGTGACGGTGTGTCATGCTTTATTATTAAAAATATTTTATTATTTTTTTTTCTATCCCTATTACAGTATTAAGGTTTCGAAGATTTTAAATAAATTTAATTATTGATGATATTTTATGAAACAAAATAAAGCCATTAAGGTTTTTATTTTGTACAGTGAGTGTTTTATTTTTATATAATTCGGCTTATATATCATCACTGATCACCAACACATTATACGTATTTTCTAACCCAAAATTAAAAATACATATTTGTATTTATACAAATGTACTATATAATTCTTTAAAATCATTACACGTATTCGACCAACTATAGAATTAAATTTCACATGTTAAAAATTCGATAAATTGCGTTTATAGTAGATGAAAATTAAAAGTTTATATGGTGGCTTGACTTAGCCGATGGTCTTAATTTTTCATAGTATTGAAGTGTTTTTTTTTTTTTAATTTATAGCGTTTGCGTATAGGTTTCTATCACTGAATTATATATATTCAACAGTACTCCTAGCTAGAGATTTGCCAGTCTCAAATAAGTTAATAAAGCTAGCATAAAAATAACACGGGTAATATGTGTATTTATACGCGTAATTACGTATATATATAACAGACAACTGAATCAAAATATTTATCGTCATTATCGTCATTATAATTATTAAAATTTTCGCCGATGACGAAATGGTTTTTATTCTCTTAAAATCTAATTTAAAACCGTTTATAGAAATTACGTTATGTAAAATAGGTAGACTAGAAAATTTGACTCTTTTTTTTATTTACAAATAAAACAAATATCCGATCGATGTGACAACGAGATCAGGTTAAATTTCTGTAATGAGAGTAAAGAGAAAGAACATCGCCCCAATATAAATCCTAAGGGAAATATTTCTAAACCTGTGAATAAACCGGAGTAAATCGTTATTTTACACCGCGCAAATGTTTGTCGGAACATGCATGCGTACACAGTTAGTGTCGAAAATATGAAAACAAAAAACAATTAACTTTTTGAGCAAGCGAAATGTACCTACAAGACACAATTTTAGTTCGTGTACTTACGTATTCAAATTAAAATCGTGTCATCAGGATTTCGGGACAATGAAACTTCACTAATAACCGGTGTACTCTCTTTATCTACACACACTTTTCAATTTTTATTTAATAAAATATATTATGAAATTTATTCACGTGTACGAAAACAATTAATACGCTTCCCGCACACTACGTTGTTGATATCTTCAAGAGAAAAACTTAGAGCTAATATTATCAAAACTGTATACAAATTAACGTCGCGTGAAATCGACTATGTGGTGTGGTATTATATTATACGGGTCAAAGAACACACGCTGTGAGTAGTCATACATATTTTAATAATATTAATGTTATTAAATACGATATGATAAATAATTAGTAAGTACGGTGCGCATGAAGATTACAACACACTATAATATTATTTACCCGCCATCGTAGTCGTTATTAAAAAAATTAGTTTACTAAAAATTCATAAATGTAATTTTTGGGTGATATTTTTTTTGAGGTTATTTTTTTTCTGTCAAATGATTAATTTTTTTTAATATTTAACATTAACAAGTTATGAAGTATAAAAATCGCATATCAATAATATATTTATACATAGCAATAATATTTACTCTTTAATTTTGATGTTTCTATTTTTTTTTTACTGTCTAAATTATTGATCAAAATTCTAGTTCAATAACATATATTGTTAAGAACTATTTATCTTCTTATATGTGAATAGCTTTGGTAAATTTGATTCGATTTGTTGTAAACCATTCCTGTAGTTTTAAAGTATCTGATATTTACAACAATGAGTTTACTTAGCCTGTATTTTATCAAATTCTACAACTGTTTACCTGCGTTGAAACTATTTTTTATCCTTATGACTATTTAAACTTATTTATTAGGTATGAAAAATGTACAGAGACATTTCCTTTTCAAGTATACACTTTAATATCATCAATAAATAAATAAATAAATAACCTTAGTTATTTTTCTTCTAATTTATCTATGATATTATATCTGATGTTTTGTTTTAGGGTATTATATTATACAATTACACCAAAACTTATAAATATATATATATGTATGTCTGTGTCTCGTTAGTCGTCTTAAAGTTAAATTTTCTTCCACTTCAAATATTTTTTTTATTGACGCTTCATGCTACCAGAACGAAGTCACTTGTACTTATTTCTGAGTACACAATTCTGTCTTTATTAATAACATACTTCAATCCCACGTATATATTGTTTATCTTTTATTTTTTTATTTTTTTTTTTTTTTTTTTTTGCTACTTGTAGAAACATAAAGAGATTTATAAGTTTAACCATGACTTTTGAAGCAAAACCTCGCTTGTTTTTTCTTTTGATGTATTAGTCATCTCATGTAGTTTATTTTCATAAACTTAAGTATGGTAGAATAGTTATTAAATAATAATAATAATAAACCATATATTTAGCTACAAATTTCAAAGATAGTTTTTATTTTGATTACAAGTTTTTTTTTTCTTTTAAACAAAAGAGAAGAAGTGGGTGTCCAAAAAACACAAATTGCTGTAAGGCAACAAAATATATCATAGCAGAAAAAATAAAAGAAATGTAATAGATTAAATTCAATTAAAATACATAATTAAAAATAATGACTTATCATTATTAGATATATTTACTGTAATATATTACTATAATATAATATGTTAGGATTGGCATGAGAAAGAAAATAGACATTTAATGCACATTCTATAAAATATATTAACTTTCATTTAACCCATTAGATTTATTTGTAAACACAAGTTGTCTTAGCGTTCTATGCAGCTTAGCAGTTCTCAACAGTTTGTATAAATAAGTAACAGTAAATATATTTCAGAAAGATTAGGAGTTTGAATTAACTAGACAATTTTTCAATGAAACCCAATAGTTTAAGAGCTCTTTAAATAGCGCTTTTAATTTGAGGATAGTGACAAAGAAATAAGATTAAAACCAAGCTAATATTAAAATGTATATTATTACCATTATTATAAGAAATTAGTTCAAATCATCAATAAATAAATACAATTAATTGATAGTGACTTTTGTTAAATATCATTGGCCGAAATTTATTAATATTCAATATAAGACTAAGATTTTCATTTGATTTAATAAGAATATTAAGATCGTGCTGAAACTTAAGACAGTGTTATAACAGTAGTCTTCTTCAAAACTATTTTCATATCATCAGCAAAATAAATACTCTTACTGTATTTAAGACAGAAAATATTTCTGTTTAAAAAACAAAGAGAAAAGTAAGGAATAATATTATTGATCCAAACGATATGTGGCATGTGACTCAGGACATGAATAGTTACAAGAATGATATAACAGATTTTAAGACAAGGGTAGACTAAACTCAATTTTCATTAACTAGGAAAAACTGTGTATAACGCATTTAAAAAAAAAAAAATCAAAGAGAGTAGACCATAATATGTACTGAATCTTGTAGAAGGTACGACACCGACTCTGAAGGCAATAGGTTTACATATATTAGAGCGATTGACTTGGAAAAAGTTAAACAGCAATTGTCGTTTATCGTCGTTTAGCAAATCAAAAAAAAAAAATAAAATAAATAAATAATAAATCTGTTAGTACTGCACTAACCGGCGTACGAATATTGTCAAATATAATCGACGATACATCTTTTCAGAAAACAATATAAATTACAAGAATTATTTTTAAGAACAAAATCTACTAACTAACCTTTACCTATTACTATCTCGTAAACAAGATCATTTTATTACCCAGCTCACGTAACGTATCATGAGATGTCATTTGTTTTCGGATCAACCGAGTTCCGTTTTGAATTGAATGCGATTTGATAATTGGCGCATATCTCAAACGGCTCGAGTGGAAAACCAATTGAAGTTCATATTATATTATATTGTTATATAACGTTCTATCCGTTTTGTTTTGCAGACGTCGTCGTACCGAGAACGCGATATGGTGACCAGTCTCGGGCAGTAGACAGAACCACGT